GGTTGGAAGGGACCTCTGTGGGTCATCTAGTCCAACCCTCCTGCCGAAGCAGGGTCACCTACAGCAGGCTGCACAGGACCTTGTCCAGGTGGGTCTTGAATATCTCCAGAGAAGGAGACTCCACCACCTCCCTGGGCAGCCTGTTCCAGTGCTCCGTCACCCTCAGAGGGAATGCAAATTCCAAATTCCTGGTACGTGAGCTATCTATCCGGAGTGGGAGGGAGCGCTGGGACGACGTAGCAGAGGCTCCGTCTCGGGGCCGAACCCGGTGGGCGCATCACCGAGGAGGTGGCTTGCGGCTCGGAGGTTCCTGCTGGCAACGCCGCGACTCGTTCAGCTGGATGAGGAACGCAGACCACATGGCTGCAGGGGGACCAGTTGTCTTCTGCACGGGCTCCTGGTGCCAGCTGCCCTCCCAGCCCTTCCTCGGGGACGCACGAAACCAGGCGACACCAGAGCCGGGGACCACCCCTAACAACTCGGCGGCTGCGCAGCTCAGCCCGCGCCGGGGCTCCACGCCGCCTCACCACGCACAACCCCCACATCAGCTTATATTTCAATTAGGGTTTATTTGAACTAATAAAATTAGCAAAAATCCAGGCATCTTGAATTCCAAATGGATACACATACATCACCAAGGTAGGCTAATTGTTCTTTTTTTCTTCAGTCAAGTGGATGAGCTGAATTTGAAAAAAATAGTTTCAGACAGAATGTTTTTTTAATAAAAGTTTCTAATTTAATTTTTTTTTTTTACCCTAGTTATGTTTCAAGATGGAAGTGTCTCCTCTCTCCCTTTCTTCCCCTTAGCTGAATCTTACATTTCTGTAAAAATTCCACCATCATTTTGACTAGGCAAGACAGCATTTTCAGCATTAGAATTAAAACATCTGCAAAGCTAGGGCTAGGCAAATAGGAGCAAGGTTCTCCTTCTCCAACTTGAGATAACGTAAAACACAGCAGAAAAAAATTTCAGTCATGGTCCAGATGACCTCACACCAATTTGGGGACAATTCTGCAAAAGCCTCCGTGTTTCCGTCCACACTTTTGTGAATTTTGAATGCTTTTCAGTCCCCATAAATGCTTTTTATTACAATTCCTTAAGAGATAATGTCATTAATATCTTTAAAAAAATATCAGATGTAAGGGTTTAAACCAAGAACTAGATATAACAGCTGCTAACTGAAAAAGCAAACAAAAATAAAACAGCAGCCTGTTTTCTTTGGCTGTTTTTCCAAGATTTCTTAGCAGTAAATACAAAACTTCAGCACAGACTTGTGCCTGTAACAGCAGTCACGCTAAACGTTTTCTGCCCCGTCCTGCCAAGCACAGGCACCCCTGCCCTGCTCACTCCTGCAGCGCGAGCCACTCGCGTACGAAGGCTCGGTCTGAACGCGTACGACTCGATTCCCATCACGCGAGGCAAACCGCAGCGCTGCGTGGACCACTGAAAGCCCAAGCACTCAAATAAACCCAAAAACAAACCAAAAAAAATCCCCCCAGCACACAAAGAGCCAGAACTGGGGAGCGTAGGGTCATTCCCTAAGCACATGTGCATCGGGACCTCCTGCCACCGCCTGTCCCCCAGCCTTGCCACCAGCCCACCCCAGTTCCAGCCTCCCAGCCCGGGCTGCTCTGCCG